GTCCATTTACATGAAATCCCCCCAAAAAACATTTAAATTACAGGTTATAATGCAACAAAATAGGAAAAAATGCCAAGGGGGATGAATACTTTTGCAAGGCACTGTACATGGACACACTTCTTCTTATTATCAATTTCTTTCAACCAATCATCAGTCATTTCTGTCAGTGCAGTACATGTTGAGTGCCCTTCTCTATAAGCATGCTGAAAGTCTGTTGTTAATTTGTTTACAGAGAAATAGCATTGTATTTGGTCAAACACAATTTTTTCCAACAGTTTACTAAGAGCTGGCAGCAAGCTGATAGGTTTGCTGTTAGAACCAGTAAAGGCCGCTTTACCACTCTTGGAATGACTTTGGCTTCCCTTCAGGAAGGACAAAGACTTTCCTCTAGACTCAGATTAAAGATACTGTATGACAGATAGGAGTGGCCATAGAGTCAGCTACCATCCTCAGTAGCTCTCCTTCTAAGTTATCAATGCCAGGAGGTTTGTCATTATTGATTGATAACAATCACTTTTCCACCTATCCCACACTAACTTTACAAAAATCAAAGTTGCAATGCTTTTCTTTCATTATTTGTTTTTTTATGCATGAGTACGATGGCTCACTGTTCATTGCTGTCATTTCCTGCCTAATTTTGCCCACTTTGCCAATGAAGTAGTCATTAAAATAATTGGGAACATCAAATGGTTTTGTGATGAATAAGCCATCTGATTTGATGAAAGATGGAGTTGAATTTGTCTTTTTGCCCATAATTTAATTTAAAATACTCCAAAGTACCATCATTCTTTATATCATTGATCTTGGATTCATTATACAGTTTCTTCTTCTTCTTGTTGAGTTTAGTCACATCATTTCTCAATTTGCAGTAAGTCAGTCAGTCAGATGTGCAGCCAGACTTATTAACCACTCCTTTTGCCCCATTTCTTTCAACCATACAGTTTTTCAATTCCTCATCAATCCATGGAGCCTTAACAGTTCTAACAGTCAGTTTCTTAACAGGCGCATGCTTATCAATAATTGGAAGAAGCAATTTCATAAATTCATCAAGTGCAGCATCTGGATGCTCCTTATTAATCACATCAGACCAACAAATATTTTTAACATCACCCACCTAATAGTCACAGCAAAATCTTATACACAAATATTTTTTACATCATCCACATATGAGTCACAGCAAAATCTTTTGGATGATCTCTTATACACTATTTTAGGTCCAGCTTTTGGAACTTTGGCTTTCCTGGATATAGCCACTATATTGTGATCACTGCATCCAATGGGTACGGATACAGCTTTAGAACAAAGTTCTACAGTATTAGTAAAAATGTGATCAATACATATGGATGATCTTGTTCCTGTAGTGTTTGTAAACACCCTGGTCAGTTGATTAATAACCTGAACCAGATTACAGGCACTGGTTACAGTGACAAGCTTCCTCTTGAGCGGACAGCTTGATGAAAACCAATCAATATTCAGGTCCCCAAGAAAGTAGACCTCTCTGTTTACATCACATACACTAGCAAGCATTTCATACATATTATTTATATACTGACCGTTAGCACTTGGTGGCCTATAGCAACACCCCAAAAGAAAAGGCTTTAGATGGGTCAGGTGAACCTGCAGCCACAACATTTCTTTTTGTCATTTTTTTTCACACTTCAATAACACTTGACATAAGATCTTCTCTAAGCATTACAGGGACATGGCTCTGACTATATACAGCAACACCTCCCCCATAAGAACGAACGACAGGGTCGCGTCTGTAAATTTCAAACTAATTGAATGAACGACTGGTCGTGTCTCTAGTAACCAACAGATGAGAAAGTATGAATTTACATATAAAAATATAAAGAAATATAAAAATGTAAAAGTATTTCTACCAGTAAATGTGTACTTTCATATTTTTTTATTTGGCAACTGTGGTATAAGCGGGATAAACACCTTTGTTCTGTACATTACCTTGGAAAAATGAACTCAGCTGGGTCATCCATTATTTCGAAGGTAATGTACAGAACATCGGCATTTATGCCTTAGTTATCCACCTAATTTTCAAACGCTTTTAAAACATGGAAGCCAAACGCGGAAACTATGAATACAACTTCCCCCACGCATTGTCATAGAAATCCCTGCATTAGCATGTTTCTGTTAGCTGATACATCATGACAAAATACACTATATTACTGTCCTGCTAGTGTGCCTGGACCTTGTAGGCTAAACTGCAGAGAAAAAACCCATAACTGATCCAAATGGTTGTTCCAATCAGGCAACCTAGATGCACTTATTTCTAAATATAGATTCAAAACGCCAGGCTTTTGAGCGGCTATTCAATTGACATAGGCTATTCGCTGCAGTTTAATGCCTAGACCTTACAAAAAAAGATAGCAGTTTTGAAACTGTTGTATTTTGGACGCAGTAATTGCATATGAACTGCAGTGTACTGCAGTTGAACTGCTGTTATACTGCGCTGTAACTGCATTACTGCAGTAAATAAAACAGTGTTATTTTGGACACAGTATTTTCAGCATACTGCAGTTATACTGCACTCTAACTGCAATCTTTTTTAGTAAGGGAGAGTTTTGTACTCACTTGAAAACAATAATAACATTCTTCATTACATTGTGTTGTTGTAGCCTAGTTAGGATACATTTCTTGTCCCCAAAAAACTGAAACAATATGGTAGCTTTTTGAGCTGCCTACCAAGGGACTGGGAAGGAGCGCACTCTGGGCTGCATCGGGAGCACACATAGTGTAGGCTACCTATTGTTTCGTTTTCTGATCAACTTTTTATTATTTCGCTGTGTAAATTGACTGGACATAGTCACTGCAGTATTAAGCCTGACACTGAGTTTATGAATTATGGGCTAATATGCATAGCCTACTCTTCTAATTTAGGATATAGGCTACATCTCAAGCCTGTCTGTCTTCATTGTTCTGTTGCGCAATTACGCAGAGATGCACGCTTGCTCTTGCTTGCTGAATGTAAAATAGGCTAGGAAAGGAGAAGCCCATATTTTCCAATAGTAGGCCTATCTTAACACCGGGTTACATCCTGACAAAATAGGCCTACACCATATGAGTGTCCTGCTAATGTACCTTTCTGGGCCGTCTAAACTGTCTAGAACAGACTTAAACGGATCCAAATGGTTGCATAATCAGGCCCAGGCTGTTGGCCTATGCAGTTATTTCAGCATGAAACAAAACAGGACATGTGAGCGGTTATTCAAATTAGCCTACATCACTGCAGTTTACAGCCTATGGACAATAATTGCGTATTCACTTGATAACAATAACTAATTCCTCATTGCACTGTTTTGTTGTAGCCCATTATATAATACTTTTCTTGTCTAAAAACGTAGGCCTAATCAATAGTGGAGCTTTGCGTGCCTGGGGGCCACAGAGCGCATCCTGGAGGAATGCACTACAGATCTGCCATTTGATAATCTGTTAACTTATTCTTCTTGAACTTTGACAGATAAATATTTAGCTTATAGCCCTAATATTTAGCTAATGGATGGCCTAATATCTAGCAAATATTTAGCTTCTTACTTTGGCTACACATCACTAGCCTCTCAGCGGTTCCCTTGCACAACAGGCTATAGGCTACACAAGCCTCTCCGAAATAGGCCATTCCTCTTCTCGTGAAATCCCAGGAAAAGCTATAGGCTACAAAAGCGATAGGACATTTATTTATACTAGGCCTAATAGCCTATTCGGGGAAAGAAGCAGGCTTGCTCTTGCTAATTCCTGATGGTAAAACAGGCCTACAGCATAGAAAATGCATGTCGGGGAAAGTTGAGGAGAGAAAGTGCACAGGAGGTTGGTGAGGAGAGAAGGTGCACAGGAGGTTGGTGGCACCCTAATTGGGGAGGACGAGCACATGGTAATGGCTGGAGTGGAGTTAGCGGAATGGTATCAAATACATCAAACACATGGTTTGATGCCCTTCCATTTGTGCCGTTCCAGCCATTATTATGAGCTGTCCTCCCCTCAGCAGCCTCCACTGCGATTGGTGTGATCATTTTGGCAGGTTATGATAATATTGTTGCGCGGATGCATTGCAAATAGTTGCACAGGACATACAGAGATGATCACAGTGAAAAAGAAGACCCAAAGGATTTTAGGACTGTAGAACGATAAACTATAAACTTTCCTCTAGTGTGGATGCTCAACAATGTTTTATAGTTATGTAGCCTATAGTTTATCATTACATTTATCGTTAGGCTATAGTTATTGGCTTGGTGGATGGCCTGGGCCTTAACTCCACCATAACACAACTAATATTACTATCACAACAGACCTAGCCTACTAGTAGGTCTAGCTAATGTTAGCGAACTTGAATTAAATAAAAAATGTAATTACACTTATACACTTACACTTGTTTACATGACTTTTATACTCTATAAATTGACTTAAATAATTTACTCTGGCAAGTTTGCCACCAGAGCGCTGCAGTAGGGAAGTAAAGAAGAAGTCGATTCCATCACTTCCGTTGTTTGACTGTGCCCATAGCAACGTTCGAAAATGAGATACCACAGTGTTGTTGAATACTTGTTTCTGATTGGCTAGAAGGGCATTCTAGAATGGGCATTAAAATCAGATAATGGGACAGTTGGAAAAAAGATATTGGGACAGTTGGAAAAGATATTGGGACAGTTGGAAAAGATATCGGGACAGTTGGAAAATATTTCAGGACACTTTGAAATCATGACGCAATATGCGCCTACACATACCGGTACATTTGTGCTTGAGTATTGTTTTCTTTGGCAACTGTGGTATAAGTGGGATAAACACCTCCGTTCTGTACATTACCTTGGGAAAATGAACACCGCAAAGTGACTCTGCAGTGTTGTCCATTATTTCCAAGGTAATATACAGAATGTCTGCGTTTATCCCTTACTTATTTCAACTATACATAAAGCTTTGTTGCCATAACACTGTGTACACTGTGTACATTGTGTACTAGTTGTATCTAATAAATAATACAGTGAGTTGATGAGATCATGTCTGTTCTGTTGTCCCCTCAGAACACCATTGTGCTTGGTACCCTCCAGTCTGTCCTGTTTGATGAGTCTCAGTGGGAGACCCCTCACACCTTCAACCCTGCCCACTTCCTGGATCAGGAGGGCAAGTTCAGGAAGAGAGATGCATTCCTTCCATTCTCTTTAGGTAATACTGTGCTACATTTATCCTTCCATTATCTTTAGGTAATACGGTACTACATCGCTTCCATGTCATTTGACCCCAGATTGGTGCCAAATGATTGCTACCCTATCGGAAATTGCGCATGCACAACTAATCTTCCTTACATAGTAATACTTTACTTGGTTTAACTGAAGTTGAATCATTGACTTAAAGTTTAATCATTGACTTGCCTATATAGCTAGAGTATGTTGGTGCTAGCATAGTTACTGTTCTATACTTTACAGTGTGAGTTAGAAAAGGTGTTCTGTGTTGGTTCTCTCCCCAGGTAAGAGGGTGTGTCCTGGGGAGCAGCTGGCCAAGATGGAACTTTTCCTGTTCTTCACCTCCCTGCTGCAGAGGTTCACCTTCTCCTGTCCTCCAGGGGTGGAACCCAGCCTGGACTTTAAGATGGGGTCTACACACAGTCCCAAGCCCTACCAGCTGTGTGCAACACTTCGATGAGGCCCCACAGCTGCCCCATACATCATGTTGCAGGGGTGTCAAACTCAATTCCTGGAGGGCCAAGTGCCTGCAGGTTTTCTCTCCTCCCTTGTCCTTGATTGATCAACTATAGTCATTGATTATTAGGAACTCCCTTCACCTGGTTGTCTGACAGGAATTGAAAGGAAATAGCAAAAACCAAAGCATAATTCTTTCATCGCACCAAACAACTGAAAGAGCTACAGATGGAGAAAACACACTTATGTAATGATAATAGTACTAATAATATTATGTAATGACACTGCATATACCACTAATAGCCTACATATCAAGGTCTCAAACCATGTTTTGTAGTCCTAGATTGAACTTGAAGAAGAAGGGAAGATTAGATTGATAATGCAGTAGTGTTTTAGGCCCCCCCCCCCCCCCCCCCCCCCCCCCCCCCCCCCCCAAAAAAAAAATATTTTTTTTTTTTTGAACTCAGTCGGTGTCTCAACTTACTGTTGAGAGTTAGAATAATAGAATACACAAGGTTCAATTTCGAAATTTGGTTGTGCATCAGCACTCACAATTAGCCAATGTCAGCAAAAAAAAAATTAATTGGTAAGTTAGTGTGGCGGACAGCTATCTAAACTTGTAGTAAGCATGGTCGAATTACCGACTGGGGTGGGGCCCATTGATCGATCATCAGTTATCATATTAAAAGCTGCAAACATTTGCCTCCACCCTATGGCAAAATGTGTAGAATTACATGAAATGAGTTATAAAATTGCAAAATATTCTCTCCTCCCCATGGCAAAATATGTAGAATTGCAGCAAACTTGCTTTAAAACGGCAAAATGTTTTCTGCGCCCAATGGCAAAATGTGCAGAATTGCAGGAAAATAACTCTAAAATGTATTTATTTTCTCTTCACTGTCACGAGTGGGACATAAAATTGTTTTCTGCGAAAGGTGTGTGTGTGTGGGGGGGGGGGGGGGTTATGAGTTTTTTTGTGGCTCCCACCCCCAGCAAAGTTGCCCATTCCTGATATACAATATAAACAAACTGCATGTCTTTCATGTATCTGACATACATTTTGGTCATTTAGCAGACGCTCTTATCCAGAGCAACTTACAGGAGCAATAATGGTTAAGTGCTTTACTCAATGGCACATCAACAGATTGTTCACCTAGTCAGCTCAGGGATTCGAGCCAGTGATCTTTCGGGGACTGACTGACCCAACGCTCTTAACCGCTAGGCTACCTGCCGCCATACATGGATGTTTTTGACCCATGGTCTGGTGGATTGTAATTTCTTACAGACTTTTTTATTTCTTCCAAGGCAATATATAAGTACAGGTAATATCATAATTTTGGAGAACAAGCTATTTAAATACACTAATCAGGATCCAAGGCAGGTTGGATAAAAGTCTGCAATGTTAATGTGGGCTAATTGTGGTCTCCTCCCTGCTGCCTTCAAGCTGGATTGAATTGAAGACTTACAAGGTACTGTTAATTGGCTATCCCTTATTAGTGTTAGACCCGACTTCATATATTTTAATGAGTTTGGATAAATAATTGTCTATTCTCAATGTCACAGTGCAACACAGTAAAGATGACTGTTGCTGTGAGTGAATATTATGATTTTAAAACACTGACATTACCAATTCCCGAACCCTTTCCAATAAAACCCTGAACTGCAAACCTAAAGCTGATTAAGAAATAAAAAACTATTATGTTTTGAATAGAGCAGGGTTGAGCAACTTTGATGGGGATGGGGAACACAAAAAATCTGAACTCACCGCAGAGAACATTTAAAAGTTTTAGAGTACATTTTGTGCAATTCTACACATTTTGCCATGATGTGTAGAGAAAATGTTGCTGTTTTAAAGCTAGTTTGCTGCAATTCTACACATTTTGCCATGGGGCGGAGAGGAAGATGAGCAGTTTTACAGCTAATTTCCTGCAATGAGAAATGTTTGTAGTTGTTAATATGATATTTATTACCTACTTACATTTTGGAAGCTAATAGATTGCATTTAGTTATAAATATGAGACATAATAATTGCAATCAGAAGCTACTATTTACATGTACATTTGATTGGTAACAGAATAAATAGCAATAGAATAACTGCAGAATAAATAATGCTGTAATTGAAAATTGTACACCCAAGGTAGGCTACTGCCCCATTAATATCTAGAATAGATTGTGTACCCTATGTGTGATTCTCACCAAATATATTGTCTTCTCACACTATTCAAGCCCCACAATTGATAAACAGCTTATGGAGCTCTCTTAGCCTATAGATCACATGTTGCAAACAAATAATCTGAACTAAAAACTCAACCCATTTTGGAATTTCTGTGCGTCCTTGACAATCGCTAATTAAAATCCAAAAACCGGTTCTGCGAACCTGCACATCATCATCTTCTCTCTTTTGTGGCACCAATGTGAGGGGTTATGGCAGGGGAAATGGTGTTGCAGTAGTCTAGTGTGTTGTGCAGGAATAATGACAAGCGAACCTGGGGAGCTTTGTGTTCACATTGCCCTAAAAAAGGGAACCGGACCGCGGAATTCAAGCGAACCGAACTCAGACCACCTCTCGAGAAGGTCTCAGTTGGGTTCGCTTCAGGAGTTCTTTTGAGGGGTCTGTGTTCCTTTGGAGTGTTCACACTGCACAAAAAAATTAAGCGAATGGCACTGAGTTCACAAATATTGGCTGAAAGGGACCAAGTGTGAAAACGCCCTTAGAGATCATTGTGTACGTTTTCTGAACTATCTGTAACTTGTGAAATCTCTTAACTCCGGAAATGTAAAATAAAGGACAAATGTAAACGTAATCAAGAAGAAACTGACAAGGACTACTTCTAGGTTGTTTTTGGTCTTTATTCTTGCTCAGCTTTTTGGACACACTGGAAACCACAGACTGGAAGCAGAGGGGACTTAGTGGTGAGGAAAGAGTTGATCAAAAGCCTGGTGAAAGTTGAGCTTGTGCTTGATGTGCAGAGAATTTTCTTGCAACAACGGTAAATGTAGAAATAGAATGAATAGAAAGGACTACTGTATTATGCTCTATTAATCATGAAATGCAATCCATGCATGGCATTTCTATCTGTGACATTATGCAGCATCACTGTGCATTGGAGAAGTTACTGTAAATCCACCATGATTTCCCCCACTGCATCTAACCAATAGAGGGCGCGTACAGTAAAGCAGTAGAATAGGAGAGAGAACCCCCTTCGCTTTGAGGACACCTTGGCAGCATGGTACACACCACACACACATAACAGCAACAGCTCTTAGCCCTTAGTAGTGAGGTAATACAGAATGAAAGGCTTCAAATATCATTGGGTGCATTTGGGACGTTCCCATTGCTATACTTAATATTTAAAAATATATCAGAACTGTAAGCTCTTGCTGAGATTGAAGTTTGAAGTCACAAGGAGCATTTAGAAAGACACAGTACGAGTAGAAGTTATTAATCTGAAATATTTAACACGTGAAATAAATAATAATAAAAAATGTGTGTGAAATACGCATGCACATCTTCATCATGTGTTTTTTGTGTAATATAAATAGCAGTTTCCATAGAATGAAATGACCTTGGTTTCACCATTCGTGTGTTACAACGTCAAGAGAAAAAACAAATATTGTCTCACCCTCATATTGTACCTGGAACGTTATGATCACATCTTGCTCATAGCACATAGAACTGTATGTGGACAATGAAGAGGATAGGAGCTAAATTGAATTGATAGTCACTGCACTTCAACCACTACACTGTACATTTAAGACTGTGTGTGTGTGTGTGTGTGTGTGTGTGTGTGTGTGTGTGTGTGTGTGTGTGTGTGTGTGTGTGTGTGTGTGTGTGTGTGTGTGTGTGTGTGTGTGTGTGTGTGTGTGTGTGTGTGTGTGTGTGTGAACGAGAGAGGGGTCACAGTCAAATATTTGGATCACATTTAGAGAGTGCAATGTGTATAGGCAAGGGCTTACCAAGAACAAGCCACAATGATGAGTGACAGGATGGTGAAATTCAGAAAAGGTATCCGTCCACTCCAACACTGTACTGCCATTTTAAATCCAACTGTTAGTTATTCCTCTGAGAAAAACTAACTGTTTCAGATCATCGTCACGGTAATGATAAATCCAGTTCAATGTCAAACTTTTGCATCCAGTGCTGCAAATTGTTCCATCTCCTTTGTTTTAAGACTTTTCAATACTTTTTGTCCTCATGTTAACAACCTCTCATGACAAACATCAGATGATCCCACTGCTGTACTGTAATGGACAGTGGATATCGGTTTGTGATAGACTAGGTTGCCCCATTTATGAAGGAAACCCAAGCAAACTGTCTGTTTCCTTTCTCTCTTATCCAATATCAGATAACGGTTCTGTCCAAGGTTTAGGTCCCAGTGTGTGTATCCCGGGGCAGCTGTAACGTCTCGTCTATGGTCACTATGAGTTCTTCTGGTTGGGCCGTCGCCCCCAGGCAGTTACTGTGGTTACAGGTAATGTAGTTCATCTCCGCCGACCGTGGCCTTTCGCTCATCTCACTCATCTCGTTCACACTGTTGGTTATACAGTTTATGTCACTCTTACTCCTGTTGGTCACTCTGCAGCCACCAAACAACCTGCAGTCTAGAGAGGAGACAGAGAGAGAGACAACATTTCTCAAGCCCCGTTTATACCTGGTTCTAACATGCGTCCTTTGTCCTGATCTTATCCACATTCTGATTGTTCCCACATTTTCAGACATGCGTCTACACATGCTATTAAAATGTGTCTCATCCGTCCACTGTGTCCGCATTGTAACCAGATTTCCTGGTCCCTTCCTTTATGTCAATTATTTGAAAGATATTATTTCAAAATAATATGGATTTATTTATGTATAAATATCCGCACCCCCAACCCACCGTGGATTTTTTCACATTTTGTTTCGTTACAAAGTGGGATGGAAATTAATTTATTTGAGATATGTTTGTCACTGATACAAAATACTCAATAATGTCAAAGTGAAAAGAAAATTCTATAAATGTTTAC